TCTTTCTCCAGTATGGTGCATTTGTTAAAAACCAGTTGGCTAAGCCAGGCATGGTTGTGCAGGCCTGTAATTCCAGCACTCTTGGGGCTCAGGCAGGATGATGTCTGCCTGAACTATACAGCAAGACCCTATCTCAAAAACAAAACCAGATGTGGATTTATTTCTAGGTTTTCCTCTTTTTTTTTTTTTTTTTTTTTTTCCGGAACTAGGGATTGAACTCAGATCCTTGCGTTTGCCAGTCAAGCACTTATCCTACTGAGCTATCTCCCCGGCCCCCTCTTTTTTTTTTTAAGACAGGATTTGGCTGTGTAGTTTAGGTTGGCCTGGAACTCACTGCAGCCCAACTAGCCTCAAACCTGAGACAATCCTCCTAAGTACTGATATTACAGGGATCTACCACCATATCCAGTGATTTCTGCTTTTATTTTCTCATTTTTTGTCTATGTGTCTGTTTGGTCTACTGTAGCTTTTGAGTATGTTTTTTTTTTTTTAATAAGGTTTTTTTTTTTTTTTTTTTTGTTCCTCGAATGCCTTCAGGGCACTTTTGGCCAGCTGGAGAGGTGTGAGGTTCGAACTCCAGCAACCTGAGGCTGACAGCTTTGTGGAAGCAGCCACTTAAAGGCCTGAGCTAGGGCCAGGCCCCCTTGAGTATGTTTTAAAGTTAGATATTACAGTGCTTCCACTCTTGTTCTTTTTGCTCAGGATTGCTTGGGGCATTCAGGGCCATTTTATGTAACTTTCTATAAGTTTTATATAACTTTTCTTATTGTTTTTTTCTAGTTCTGTGAAGAATGTCATTTATATTTAGGAATTATCTTGAAGAATATGTAGGTTGGGTAGTAAGGACACTTAAAAAAAAATCTTCCAATCCATGAACATGGGATGTCTTTCCATTTTTTGTGTGTCCTTTTCAATTTAATTCTGAACATGTTTTGCAATTTTCATTATAGGGATCATTTATGTCTTTGATTAAATTTTTCCTAGTTACTATTTTTATTTTATTTTATTTTTTTTTGGTGGAACCAGGGATTGAACTCAGATCCTTGAGTTTGCCAGTCAAGCACTTATCCTACTGAGCCATCTCCCTGGCCCCTATTTTTAATTTCTTATAGCTGTTATGAATGGGACTGCTATCTTTGTTTTTCTTGCCAGTTTTGTTATTGGTGTATTAAAAAGCTACTAGGTTTTGTGTGTTGATTTTATATCCCATAATACCAAATTTATATAATGAATTCATCTATTAATTCTAACAGTCCTTTAATCCAATATTCAGGTTTTTCCATGTATAAAATTATGTTGACTTCAAATAGGGATCATTGGATTGTTTCCTCTCCTATTTGATGTCCTTTATTTCCTTTTCTTATCTTAGTGCTTTGGCTTAGTCTTTCAGTGCTATATCAGATATGAATACTGAAAATTGACAGTGCTAGTTTAGCATGGTGGCACATACCTGTAATCCCAGCACTTGGGAGGATGAGGCAGGAGAATCACAGTGGGTTCAAGGCCAGCCTGGGTTACATAGAGAGTTTAAGGCTAGACTGAATTACAGAGTAAGTCCACAACTCAAAGAACAAATGAACTAACTAACTTACTAAACAAAGTTGACAGACTTGTCTTGCTCCTAATCTTAGAAGAAAAAGATTGCAGCTTTATGCCATTTAATATAATGTAGACTGTGGATTTGTCATGGATAGCCCTTGTTGTGGTGAGGGGTATTCCTTTGAAACTTAATGTTTTGATGTTTCTCATCATGAAGGAAATGTTGAGTTTTATCACATGATTTCTCTACATATTTTGAGATGATAATATCATCATCAGATTGTGATATATTGTGCTTATTGATTTGTGTATGTTGAACCATCCTTGCATTCTTTGAATAAATCTCCCTTGATCATGTGTACTCTTTTTAAGTGCTGGTGGATTTGATTTTTTAAAATTTTTTGAGACAGGGTCTAGCTTTGTAATTAAGCATGGCCTTGAACTAATTATGTAGCTCATGTTGACCTCAAACTTATAAATGTAAAAAAAGAAGAAAAAGCCTGTGGAAAAAGAAAAAGCCTATGGGTGTTAGGGGAGATGATTTGTGAGGAAACATTTGTATAAGAAGTATGCAAAAAAAAAGAAGTATACAAATAAAGGAGAAGAGAAGGTAAAAGTAGTAGAAAACCTATTCTAAAGGAGAAGAGAAGGTAAACCTATTCTCTAAAAGAGAAGAGAAGCTAAAAGGAGTAGAAAACCTATTCGATGGTACAAATGCTGAAAACTTTTCAATTTTGGGAAAGAAATGGACATCAGGCCCAGGTAGCCCAAAGGACCTCTAATAGTCATGGACTAAACCAAAGTTCCTCTGTGGCTCTGCTGTGGCTCTGGGAAGTTCCACAAAGGTCTATTGTTAAAGGCTTGGTTTTCAGTCTGGAGCTGTTAGAGATAGTGGAAGACTCAAGAGATGGATACTGATGAGAGATTTTTAGTCATTGGTGCATACCTTCAAAGGGGATTATGGGACCTTTTTTGCTTTCCATCTATTTCTGCATCCTTCCAATGAAGGAAATAGCTCTACTCCATCACACACTCCTTGCCATGATGTGCTGCTTCACCACAAGCCCACAAACAACAGAACTAATCAATCATGTATGAAATACCCAACTAAACCTTTCTTCTTTGTAAGTTGGTTATTTCAGGTATTTAGTTACAATAACAGAAAACTGATTAACACATTCTCCCAGTAATATTCCAGTTAAACTGTCAAAAGTAAAAAAGAAAATTCTGAAAATATCAAGATAAAAGCATCAAGTCACATTTAAGGGAATCTCAAGTAACTTAAAAACTTTATAAAAAGAAAGATAATATATCTGAAAAACCTTATGAGAAGAAAGATAATATATTAAAAAACGTGGACAGGAAAATAATCCCTGTCAAGCAATTATTTCATAACCACAAAATTGTTCTTCAGAAATAAAGTCTTTCCAAGACAGACAAAAGCTAAGGGAGGAAAAACAGGAGAGGACCAAGTGGTACAGTCTGGGGGTAGAAGTTTCTCAGATAAAATCAGGGATGAAAAAGGAGACATTATAATTGATATTACAGGTATGCAAAGGATTGTTAGGTGCTATTATGAGCTATAATATGCCAAAAAAAATTGGAAAGCCTAAAAACAAATGGATTTTTTTTTTGTGGTACCAGGGATTGAACTCAGGATCTTGTGCTTGACAGGCAAGCACTTATTCTACTGAGCTATCTCCCCAGCACAAATGGATCTTAAGATACATACAACCTATTAAAATTGAACCATGACAACAAAGAACACTTTAATAGACCAGCATGAATAACAAGATTCAATCAGTAATAAAAAGTATCTCAAGAAAGAAAGTCCCAGACCAGATGGGTTCAGCAATGATTTTTTTTTTTTTTTTTTGCGGAACCGGGGATTGAACTCAGATCCTTGCATTTGCCAGTCAAGCGCTTATCCTACTGAGCCATCTCCCCGTCCCTCAGCAATGATTTTTATCAGATTTTCAAAAAATTAACACCACTTCTTCACAAATTACTCAAAGTTTTGAAAGGAAGAGAACCCTTTCAAACTCAATATGTAAAGCCAACATTACAGTGATATCAAAACCAGATACGGATACAACAAAACTAAAGAAAATATTTTCTAAAAGAGAGAGAATATAAATACACACAAAAATGATCAACAAAATATTAACAAATCAGGTGGGTTTGGTGGTGTACATTTTTAATTAGCAGAATGATCACCACAAGTTTGAGGTCAACAAGAGCTACATAATTAGTTCAAGGCTATGCTTCATTACAAAGCTAGACCCTGTTTCAAAAAATTAAAAAAAAAAATCAAATCCAACAGCACTTAAAAAGAGTACACAACATGATCAAGGGAGATTTATTTTCAAAGAATGCAAGGATGGTTCAACATACACAAATCAATAAGCACGATATATTACAATCTGATGATGATATTATCATCTCAAAACATGCAGAGAAATCATGTGATAAAACTCAACATTTCCTTCATGATGAGAAACATCAAAACATTAAGTATCAAAGGAATACACCTCACCACAACAAGGGCGATCCATGACATACTCACAGTCTTCATTTTTTACAGATTTATTTTTTATAATATCTTAAGAGTAACATAAATTAGCATTTTCATTATTGGTCATTATAAAGGGATATTTTAATAATGCCTAGCTGTTCATATTTTTATTCTATGTAATATTTAGTTTTACAGGGAAAATAAAAGTTTATTAGTTATATTTGAGGAACTTTTTTTTGTGGTACTGGGATTGAACCCAGAGCCTCATGCATGCTAGACGAGTTCTCCAAAACTTGAGTTACTTCCTTAGCCCTTGTACTATATTAATTATGTTATATATTTTTTGAGACAAATTCTCATTAAGTTGCGTAGACTGGCTTCAAACTTGTGAACCTCCTGCCTTTGTTTTCTGAGCAGGTAGGGGTACAAAGTATACTGTCTTACCTGGCTATTAAAAGATACTTTTTAAGAGAGTTTTTTTGTTTTTGTTTTTGTTGTTGTTTGTTTGTTTGTTTTGTTGTCTTTTAGAGTTAGGGTTCTGCTATACAGTTCAGTTCTGTCTGGTCTTGAACTCACTTTGTAGCCTAAGGCCTGTCTCCAAACATACTGTAGTCATAGTGGAGGTGAAAATGTCAGCATTCTATTCAATTATAAGTAGTGTGTTATAATTATACCAGTACTGCTAGCACAGCAAAGTGAAAGGAGAATGAACTTTAGAGTTGAAGTCTTGGCTTTTTTTTTCCCCAGGCACACAACTTAGGGCTGTTTTCTGTGATTGCTTGTGCCCCCGTCTCTTCCTGTTCATGGGGGACACTGTTCTTATGCCATGAGCATTCAATGAGATTCATGCTTATCCCAATAATATATAGATTAGTCTATTTTGAGACAGTCTCGCTAGTAATAACTATTATTCATTTTTAAATATTCCTTTTTTTTTTCTTTATAGCATTTGTTTAGTGCTCAGCACAGAAGTGTGACCAGACAGAGCAGACAGCGGTTAATAAATAACAACAGCCTGATGGAGCGCTTCCTGCAAGACGTGCTTCGTCACCACCCTTCCAACTACCAAGACAGCAGGTAAGGGAGCCCTGTGCAATAATAATGCTCCATAGGTTTACATACAGTAGGTGTTCTTGTTAATGTTCCACAATTTCTTCAAGTTAATCTTTAAATCAAGGAAGACAAAGTGATTTATTTTTCTTTTTATGCAATGCTGGGTAGTGAACCTGGGGCATCTTGTATGCTGGCCAGCATGATGTGAAATGCTGGCAGCAGGGAAAGAAGAGAACAGTGATTTGAAGGGGGAAAAAATGAAAATAGAGCTTTTGTACATGGGGAGGGGAAAAAAGGGATGGAGGGGGAGGGGCGGGGAAGGGAGTAGATGAATTATGAAGTGTTATGTACATCTCCTCCACGGTGAGTGAGATTGATCATTATGTACTGCAGCTAGGTAGTACCAATAAAAGGAAAAATAAAGTGGAATTTTATCTAGTAAGTCCCATTTGCAATTTTTTTATTTCTTCTTTCTCCTCTTCCTCTTCCTCCTCCTCTTCCTCCTCCTCTTCTTCTTCCTCCTCCTCCTCCTCCTCCTCCTCCTC